AGGCCCCCGAAATCAAAACTCATTATAGGGGGCCTTCCAATCATTGCCCTGATCCTGAATAGGCCGGCCCCAAAACTCATTATAGAGGACCCTTAGGCTAAAGGAGGTCCAACATTATTAATAATCGTAGTATTAAGAATGCTATTAATCATAGTTTTTTCTAGCTGTGACAGCCACGCCAGGCCTCGCGGACACTGGTGTCCAAGGCTTCAAAGGCGGACATATCCGCGAAGATTGTATTCTGGCAGCACGTGGTCTCGGACAAAGCCCTGTGGACTAGTTGGAGATGACTTCAAGTCTCATATCTGAGTTGCATATTGGAACAACAAGTTATTGCGCTGCTGCATTTAGTCTGCATCGAGAGAGCTGCAGGACCGTCCAGTGCTTTAACTACCACTATGCGGCTGGTGGCTTTCCCCATGAAGTGTTAGTGACGTCAAGCTGCAACTCATTCAGGGATCGCTGCATCAGACCGTGACACGAAGCCGAGGAGGGCAAATTGACAATGGCTGGCCTCTATCAAGGAAGGGTAGAGCTTAGCAACGCCATCCTCACGCTTCAGGATCTTGTCGTGCTTTCGCATGATTTTGAACCTGCTGAACGAGACACAAGGAGCGGATTGAGATTGTCAGCTTTGTTCCAGCCCCTGACCCCTTCATCAAATGTCCACTGCTTTTCAGGGGATTGTTAGCTAGTAGGTGATGATGCGTACTCAGGGACTACTGAGACTAAGATATGGATGAAGCAGGATTCGTATGGTGACCATCTTCGCTTCCAGGAGGCGCACACTGCAGCGTTGTTGAGCTCAGCGTATCCGCGAAGGCGGTAGATGCCCTCCGCCACGCGCCCAAGCGCCTGCAAAGAGATTGTTGTTTCTCGAAAGCGTGCAGATGTGGAGCACGAGGAGGAGCCTGCGAATGAGCAGCTACGTCAATGTGCCAAGGCCCCAAGATCGCTGTCATCCCACCCAAACCAAACATACCTTGCAGTTCTCCGGACCCAGTTAAACTGAATCCTAAAGATCCCGCTATGATTGCACCACGGCCCCCCAAGCGCATACGGCGCGCACGTTCTCAGTAGAACCCTGCAAGCCACCTAAGACATGATCTTGCAATGGCGCGGCCCTTTCCCAAGATTTCAGGGCTGCACAGTGTACCCCGAGTATGGAATGAAATTCATTTATTGCCCTACCTTCCTCATGAATTTATAAACCCCTCTGAAAACCCTTGGCCTCCATGACGTTCAACTCCAGGAAGTGGCTCATGGAGGCGGGTTGCGATTCTGGAGGCGAACCTGGCAGTGAGCTCCTTCACAAGAGCTGATTCAAAGGGGTGTAGAGAAATATGAAAGAAAGACTTTATTGTGTTCTCCTACACCTCCCTCCTCCTGAACTTGCATGCCCCCGTTCCTGACCATAGGAAGTGTCTAAGAGTAGCGATACAGCGAAGCACAGTACTATGGCATGCATGCTTCTGAAGTAGTGAGTTCAGGAGAGACTTTTTCAACTTTGTCTTCCGTGTCTTTTCTTGAATTTAAACAAGTTCGAGCTAAAGCTAGGATATCCAGGATATTTCCTCCCAATTCTAGTTGTCGCTCCTTGGGTGCAAGGGGTGACCCACTTTATTGTTTGCATGCTAGTGCTCGCGATCATCTCAATCACAATGAACAACTTTTGTGAGAATTACTGATTTTATGACGTTGCTCCTCACTTCTGCAGAACTTCTTTTGCGCGGTCATCTTCGTCTGCTTTGGATGACTTGTTCCTTGCCAGCATCGAGGTTTCTGCTGTGTGCGCCAGAGGCCTGGATTTCCAGGCGGCGCCAACAAGGCCGCATCTGGGCTTCTCGCCCCGGTACTCAGTAGGGGAAGTGCGCTGACGAGATGCCTTTGGGACCCACTGTGTTCCCGTACCAAGGCAGGGGGGAGGCTTCAACACGAGGTCTTTCCAATGGCAGCCGGGTCTTCCGGCCACCCTCCAGGCAGCCCTCTCTTGCACTGGAGATCCCTTCGCGAACTACAGACATCCGATGGATCCCTAGGGTCTCATGACCATTTCGGGAATGGGGAATGTCTCCGGGCAGTTTTGCCCATTATGTGAGACTGACGGAAAGGAAACACATGTGGCGCCAAAACTTGAGCTCTAGAAATCTTCGACAATCAAACTCTGCCATCTGGTCACGGCTGTCCAATCACACACCCGCAGCACGGCGGCCAGCAAGTGCATCCACTTCCCTTGTCATGATCTAGTTTGGCTTCGAATCTCTTATGTGGCCTGCTGCGCGATGCGGCTGCATTTGTTGTTCAATGCTTGCTTGCTACCCAATGGCCCAAAAGACAAAAGCCTAAACATCGTACTCTTTGCAAAGCCTGGCTCTGCTAACAACCTACAAACATACAAACGCACACGGACAGCTACGCATCAGCCAGCAGCGACGCAACTGGCCGCCTGCCTGAGGAGCAGCACGCGCCAAAAACATGCGACCCCTGTTGAGCAAACCCTATACGCCATCTGGGCGATAACTTGAGGCAAAGGGTCCGGGGTGACTTTAGATTCAGCGGGCCCTCCCGAATGCCTACCCTGCTGCAACAACTTGCCAGGAAACCAAGCGTGTCATAGCTTGTCAAGCAGATACGCAGAAAATCAGGCAGTCTTCCAGCATTTTCAGGAGGGTCCCTAAAGGAGACATCTCCAACCTAAAGGCTTGGTTGCCAGACCTTGGGCCCCAAACCAAAGGAGGGCTTGAAAACCTGTACGAACCTTCTGACTTTATAGACATTTCTCGTGTATGCGTATCCTCACTTGTCCTTGGTCCTAGCATAGCCGTCCCCGACTTCATGCCAGGCGCTTGACCCTGAGCGCCCTTAGCAGGGCCTCTGTCTGCAGCAAGATCCGCGGCTGTTCTTCCACGCTGATCCTACGATGGGCCACGTTTCACTCAAACATGAAGCAGGGCTCCAGAAGAAGGGCGTATCCATGCGTTTCCCTGATTCATGCGCCCTGAAAGTACAATTCCGTTGGGATTGTCAAGTGTCTTGCTCACCAGCAGGCAAACCATTTGTGCCTGCATATCATACACTGCATGTCTTCTTGTTGTCTAAGCGCACATTTCTATGCAGGACCCAGCGTTAATCTATAGGTGAGGTTCATGTCGTTTCGTGGCATGACGGGTGGAGAGTTTAGGCAAATCTTTCGAGGGTGTGCTGAAACTCCGCACCGGCATCCCCATTGTATCGGCATGTACTTCAAGATTGTACGTAAGCTAATCGCCACCTTTGAGGATCAGCCCAGGCAGGCCCGAGCAGCTCTAAATGAAAATTCAACATGCCCAACAGCGGGCACCATCAGGCGTCAACAGCAATAAGGTCCATGATCCCCAGGGCCCTTCCCGCCCCACCTTCAATGCTAAAATCGCGCGCTTGTCTGGGGCGCATCCTGCAGGGAAAGCGGGCGAAAGGGTAGCTTCACGATTCTGACACCAATGTGGCAAGAGTTATACCAGATACAGTAAAAAGTTAGGGAGATGCTCAAGAGTGCAGGTCATGGCCGCTTTGCAGGAAGGATTCCCTCCTTTGTACTGTGGCACCCGATTTAATGGAGAGGTCCGGAATAATGAACAGTTTTCGGGAAATTATTCAGAATCAGCTATCGTTGGAGGGGTTCGGAATAACGAAAAGTTTATTTTTGGGGACAGAAATAAAAAAAAATAGCTGATTCTGAATCCTAAAGTTGGTTATATTAGGATGATTTAGGCT